ATTTTTGTTACTTGAAAGTAAATTAAACAACTAACTAAATTTAACTAGATATTTGTAAGATGAAGATAATATAAATAAAATATCTTCTTCCTTATCATGAATCAGTAAAAAGTATAAGAATTCTGTTGTGGAGTATTCAAATTGTGTTGTGCCAAATAGAAGCAATAATATTTTTTACCCTTACTAGAGATGCTATAAAGAATATTGGCTAATTTAAAGTTTGAATAGTCTTGAAGATGGGTTAGGTAGAGAAGATATTAGCTCTCACTATAGAGTTCCCTCTTCTCCCTCCACCTGGGGGCTAACATCTCGTAAACTATAAATCAAATTGGGTGTTTTAGTCTGTCACTCTAAAGTCCTCTAATTCTGCACCCTTTAAAGTTTATTTCCCTATTTATTTGCGCTTTTATATGAATTACATTATCATCCATACAACCTTATGTGATTCTTACACTTTGTTGACTGGGAGAATACCATCTCAGATCATACATGTTCTCACAACATATATTAACATCTTAATTCTTTAAATCAAGAAGTAAATTAAATACATGGTTTAAAATCATCACAACTTATTACTTCTTCCAAATCACAACTTCTTCCAACATTAAAAACTAATACTTCACACAACTTCCATCCAATACCTAATAACTTATCATTTTAATAAAAAAAAGATAAAAAAAAACCTACTCTGTATTCATGAATAAAGCACAACCACATTTAAGTTTGAAAGTAGATGCAAACAAACAAGAAGTCTAAATTAAAATCAAATTTAGTCACAAAGATAAAAACTTATCTCAATCCCTCTTCACCAACATGTTGAAGTTCCTTTGAATATCTTTTGTCACTTACAATACAAACTACAACTTAAAATAAAAAGAAAAGTGGAGGCGGCGGTGGCGGCGTGTGTGGGTGACTGGAAGGGTGTTGGCGCTGATGATGAATTATTCTGATTGCCCTCTCCTCTTCAATCTAAGTCTTCTTTTGTAATTTTCCAAAAGGTGCCTTGGTTTCTCTTCAATATGTGTCTACATTCAATGAATCTTCCAGGCGTTGCCTCCTTTCAAAAGCCAATTGAATGTAATTTCATGTCCATTAACTATTTCCCACATTTTCACCAAGGGGTTCTTCAAACACCTCTTCAAACACCTCTTCAAACTTCAAACACCTCTTCAAAAATTCATCCAAATTCATTGAATAATCAAGTAACTACTTCTAGCGCTTAAGCACAAGGTACCGAGTGCTTATACAAGACCTTCTCTGTTTCACTGGCGCGTAAGCGCCAGTTTTGGGCGCTTAGGCACCTCAGTTCAATTGAACACCTTCATTTTTGCTCCAAATTTGATCCTTTTTCACTCCTTTCACTATTTTTCATCCATTTGATTATACCTGAAAGAAAAACACACAAATACTTTTCATTAAAGCTCAATATCTCAAAAATAAATATAAAAATGTGTACATAAAGACTATGTATTTTAAGTGTATCAGGCTCCAACGACATAACCCTAATCATCTCAACTAAAAGTAGGGATTTAAGGTCAAGCATTTGGATTCCTAAGAAGTGAAGATTTGTTTAAAGCTCTATTTTTTGTGTTGGTTCATTCAATATTCTTTTGAGAGAAACTTTAGGAAAATTCTAAGGCTAGATGCTAAGCGTGCTATGTAGAGGATAGTCCTTATTCAAAAAGTGAGGTCAATAGTTATGTTTAGGTTGTGTTTGGTTTAAGTAAGACTAGGGTTTAGGGTTATGGTTAGGTTCGGGTCAACCTAATCTGAACCCAAATCCAACCCTAATCCAAGGCTATTTGATTGGGTTTATTTAAACTCAAGTTAATTTAGCTTAATTTAACCTAATGTAAAAGACTAACAAAAATGCAGGAGGAGGAGGAGGACTTAAGGAAGAGGAAGGTTACAGGGGATCATCAAAAACAAGAGAAGAAGCATTCGAACTCCTTGAAAACCTTATGCCAAAGTCACAAAATGGAAATTTTAGTGTTGAAGTGATCAATCAAAGTGCATTGGGCATCTATTGATAGGCGACAAATGCAGTGCGGGAGCCTCGGTGCTCTTCAATTGAGGTGGGGATCAACAACCACAATTTCCCCTATAATCGAGGCTTCCATAAATCACTAGCAGTAAACTGACATGTCAAATTTCCATTGGATACAATGATAGAGGAAATAGATCTTTGTCACGGCTCGAGAGCGTGGTCACACCAGAATTGGGCATGGCTGCATGCGAGAGCATCTCAGTGTGGTTACACCTGAATTGGGAGTGACCAAATCTGAGAACTTCTGAGTGTGGCTATGCCTAAACTCACTTAGACATGACAACCTAAGAGTAAGGGGCTCTCAAGGTTGTGCATTCGTAGGTGCTCAATGTAATGCACGTATAGGGCACATGTTCCCGCGTGCAGGCATGCGCTTGCATCCGCGCACACATAGATTATGCAAACATAAGGATTTCAAAGTTGGGGTTGATCTTAGTTATATTATCTCTAGGGTAAGGCATTTGTGATCAAAATGTGGGTTCCATCCCGTGAAGATCAAGCCTCTTGATGAAAGCTCACATGAGCCATGAACTGATTATTCCTAACTCAATGTGAGAGGGCTTCAAACTTGAGTTGATTGTGAGTTGATCATAAGTCCGAACGCAGGGTTGACCAAAAGTGAGGTAGACAAGAATATCTTATTTTCGTGCACATGGTCATGATGGAAGGCCCAATAGTTTGTTGGAGTCCTAGAACTAGGCTCTGGTGTTCATCACGGGCTCTCTCTTGAAGTACTCTTTATTTTGGATGGCTTACACTATCTCAGCCATCAAAACCCTCAACAAAGCCACCTTGGATATTTCATGATTGGGCAGTGATGGCTCATTATATTGAGCTAACCGTTGGTTAGGATATTAAGCTTGACTCCCTGATTTGTCTATTATGTCATTCACTTTACAATTTAAGGGCAGTATATTGTCTTCTTAATGCATACACGCGGAATGACGCAAGTCATCCTTTTGTCTTCATTTGTCGCCATATGGAACCCTCTTCTATGGGTGATGAGTGGAAAACTTTACTTTAGAGGAAACGATGGTAGAGTTATACTCTTCTATCGATATGTGGTTGTTGGTTATCTCCAATAACTCGGGCAATATCTTTGGTTGTTGCAGACGTAAAGCATACCAGAATGGTCCTTCCAATAACCCTTAAGCCAAGGTGGCATAAGCTACTTTGGGCTCAAGATTCTGTACTATTAACATCTTCTTCTTTAGGTGGGTGATGAAAAATAAAAGGCTCTCGTTTTGTCCTTATCAAATCTACATGAGGGTCTGAGATGACTTTTGCTGCTTTTGGTCACAGGCAAACTTCACCACAAACATTCTCTTAAAAGTCAGTGAACATACAATCACTCTCGACGACAATATATTAAACCACATGAGGGCCAACTCTCTCAACGCAATAAAGAAGAGATGAAATTTATGTGCATCGGTGATCCTCAACTCACACATAGTCGACTCAAATGCGTGTTAGGATATTAAATCTCTCTAGGGGCTTAACTTCAAATATTTGGCAAGAGAAGACATTTTCTGGCTGTCGTAAAGCCTCAGTACGCCCGAATCGGTGTTTGTCGATCGGTGCTGAACCAACACCATAAAGTACTTGTAGTCCCTTTCTCATTCTTGGGCTAAAGTGACACTTTAGTCATTGGGCGCCAGTCCTTCTTCTCAGTGATTCTGGTCTCTTCCCAGAGCCAGTGCCTCTCGTATGACATCTAGCATTAATCCTTCAGCTTTTGGATCTCTGTTTCACAAACTCTTTGGAACACTCCATATTACCACTGTCATTGTTGTGAGTTTACTCTCCATGGCCTGCTCTTCTTGTTTGTGGCATGATTCACGCTTATCACACCTTTTGGAATATTGAATTCCGATTTCTTCGTGAATTGCACCCCCAATGAATAGAGTGTAAGAAAGGAGAGAGAGTGGAGTAAGACAGAGAGAATAGTGCACAATAATGAACTGTATTATGTTGTGTCTTATTTGTGAATTGATCTCCCTATTTATAGGGGAGAATACAATATGGTGATTTTACATTCCTTCCCCTACTTTAATGGTAGTTGTAGGTATTTCACTATTATTAACCTATCACTTGATCGCCTTCTGGCTCGTTCGACTGAGCTTGTTTAACATTGAATTGGTTGGACTGGCTTGGTTGGCTATGCTGCTCGATTGATCTTGATTGGTTTTGGATTAGTTGGTCCCCTTCAGTCTTTTAGGCGTTGCTTATAGACTCATCTAGTATGGCTATCGACCCTTGATCGTTGATGAGAAATCCTCTCATCGGGAGACCACTAGACTATCGAGTTGAGGGTGAATCACTGTAACTCGATATGTAGCTCACACCTTAATGAGAAGAACGCAAGAGATTACTATAAGACTCTTTATTGTAATATTAATACTTGATCTCTGATGAGGAGCCTCGGGAGCGCCTATGAGATGGTTGATGAACTTGAGAAACTAGATCATTACTTATGTCGGATCTGCTAGCCAGTAGTCTACTGTATTGGGTCGACTTTCTTGTAATGGTTGACTCTAATGCCTATTTGTCTCGTTTTTGTCTGATTGGTTAGGATTCATATCAATGAATCGCTTTTTGGTCCTCCTCATGGCTCGGTTGGCCATGACTTTGACTTAGACGGCCATATCAATCAATTGCTTTTTTGTCCTCCGCATGGCTCGGTTGGCCATGACTTTGACTTAGACGGCTTCATCTTATCAGAGAAGTGAGCCTTCTGGTCATCTTTATCTTTCGGTGGGCCTTCTTTTATCATACTCTTATCTGCTCGAACGTTAGATCTCCACAGAATGTGTGCCCACACATTTTTCAATGTACAATCAAAATTTGCTAAAATTTACTTGAATAAAATAAACCCTACTTAAACCCTACTAAAATATAATAAAAAAATACTGCTTCTGAAACATCTCAAAATCAAATCGAAGTAAAAACTTTCGGATTCTGCAGTCTACTTCCGTTTAATGCTAAAACCTAGTAACCTGGGGACTCCGAAGATTAGGGAAGTGGAAACCCTCGCCTCTACCATCCATGTTTTCCCCGGCGACAAGGAAATCTTCACTACTTCGGCAGAAAGATCGTAATCAATGGGGTCATGGAGCTTCGGCTCCACTCGTTTCATCTCCGTCGACGCCTCTTCCTTCAGAACAGGCGGGCGGCCCTTTTTTGAACACTTCAATCCCCAACCGTCCGATCACCGGCACGCCAGCTCCCTGGGTCACTCGTCCATCTGTGGCCGTGAGGTAGTCATGCTCGACCCCTAGTGAATCTCTTCAGCGTGGAGCCTTTTTCTTAGCGTCCACGATTCAGTTTTGCTAAGGATATTATGGACGATCTGTGTGATCCTAAGCTCTTTTTCTAACTATTGTTTATTCGTTGTTGGGCGATGTTTATGACATGTGATGGAGTCTGGTGTGAAATATGATATCCTAGAGTGTTATATTTATTGCATGTGACCAGTTTTGTATGTCATGCGATTGAAAATGATACACTATGCTTCAGTTTCTCGCATGAAAACAACCAAATACCACAATGGTGTGTCTAGTTTGTTTTGAAGTGATTAGAATCAAACTTCAACAAGAGCACTAAGAGCATCTCGAACAGAGGCACACAAAAAATGCCTCGAGCCTTAAGATTCTTTGTCATGAGTAAAATTTACCCTCATGCACCTCCAGGCTTTAGGCCTCGAGGCTTTTGGGATTGCACTTCAATAAGTTATGTAAAAACTATATATTATATTATATTATTAAAATAGATTTTATTATACTTATATCTATTATATCTAATAAAGCGTCTAAAAATGTCGAAAGATAATTTAAATATGATGAATAATATAGTTATATTATTAATTTATTATTTTATTTTAAATAATATTGAATCCAATGTTTACTAATATGGAGAGTAAGAAGAAAAATGTACAATTGAAAAATGATTTGGAGAATGGTTATAAGACATTATAAAAGAATGATAGGATTATTGAATATGACGACTCCTCTAAAGTGATGAAAATGAGGATGCGATCACTTTGAATCCTTATTTTTATGATATATTTGATTTTTAAGTGAGCGATTACCTCGAATCTTATTTTAAAATTTCATTTTATATTAAAATTTAAAGGTGAGATTTGTGGTTTATGCTTTTATAATGATGAACTAAATAATTTGTCAATAGCATATAAAATATTTATGAATTATTTTTAATTATGTTTTTTTTTTGAACCTTGTAACTTATCCACTAAGAAAAAATGCCCAGTTCCTAATTCAAGGTTTTTAAATCTTGATTGTAATTAAATTGAACTCACTTCTGGACTAAGTTCCAAGTGCTTGTTTGGTTGATAGTGAAAATAAGGGTGTTTCTATTTCTGGAACACATTTTCATATATGTGAAAAGCGAGTTTTATTTTAAAGTGCTTAGAAGTTATGAGAACCCTTTTGCATGTTTTACATTAACAACCTTGCTTTTTTTTCATTTAATGATAGTATAATGATATAATGTTAATTGCGTAGTGTGTTAGAATATTGATTTTATATATGATGATGATTATGTAATGTAAGTTGCTGCAAAGATGAAACTCATTGTACCTTAAACAAACATAAAAGTGGAGTTGTAAGTAGTAAATTTTCCATAACAAATAGAAATCAATGAACTCACCTCCAAAACAGCATTAACCGATTCTAAAAAATTGCAGTAATAATTATGGTTTCAAGGGTTTGTTTGGAGCACTTAAAAGTGAATAGTTGTACTAGGAGAAAAAGTGTACATGTGTCTCCATTTAGCGTGCCTAAATCCATAGAGATGTGTCAATAGCATGAGCACAAAGCTATAGAGAACATGCCAAAAGAAAGCCAAAATGAATGAAAGAGCAACAGGAGAACAAAGGCTAAACTACCGAAAATTACTATTTTAGAAGATTGGGGAAAGGGATCCAACAGAAAATATCAACGATTCAATTTTGGTACAAAATGAAGGTGTCCATTTTAGTAGACTAGATGCACATGAGAGTCATGTCATGTATGTAATAAGAATGATGTACAAAGATCTGGCTATAGCCATCACTTGGTAAACATATAAGTATATATTCAACATGCAATAATTCAATCGAATAACAATCAATCGACCATAATTTTTTTGTAAAGTTATTGGATATGATTGATGGTGTGATGACAGAGCAAATTTTCCTACTAGGTGAAACCCAAAAGAGGCTGCAAGGGCCTCAATTTTGTCTTTCAAAAACATTAAGGCCTTCATGCCTTAGAATGATTAGGAAAAAGCATAGAAGAAAAACAAAGAAAATGTGGTTAAGCTTTGTAATGCTTTTTTTATGTGATTTCATGAGGATTTGATTAGTCCATTGATCTATAGTATTTGAGGAAGGAGGAACATTAGCAAAGACTTGTTTTAATAAATAAAGAAAAGCAACAAGATTGACAGATCGAATTAGTGCTCCCACCAAGAGGCCAAGAAGTACCTACCATAATAGATAGGAATAGCCCGTTGACCCCAAAGGAGTTGGGCTTTGCAAGTTTATTCTTGATTTTGTACTTGTCCTTGAGAGTCACTTGGAAGTGTTGTGGAGGATTTCATCTTCTTCTGAGTTCTCCATTTCTCTTGATGTTTTATCTTTTATTATCGGATTTTGCATTATCTATTATAATTCAATGGGGCCCTACACTCCATGTTTCTCCTCTTTTGAGAATGGATCTCTCGAGGATTCTCAAGCTTAGAGCCCTTTGAACCTTCCATCTACAAGGAGTATCATTCTTTTGATGATTATTTCCCGGCGATTGTATTCCTCTTCACTAAGCGATAAAAGGATCCAAAGCACAGGTTGGTGCATGCTCAGTTAATTAAATTGGAGTATTTGTTGGAATCGGAGACAATGGAATTCCAAGAGGTCGCTCTGATAGCATGTTGCCTTGGGAAATTGTCTGTTATTGGAGATCAATTAGAAACAATGTATATTTATGCACTCAAACCATCTATTAGCTCTTACAATGTATATTTATCTACTCAATTACAAAATGAAGTTATCACCATCTTGCACTCAAACCATCCATTAGCTCTTGAATGTATATTATATGCTACCATGTTTCCTTGCAATGATATGCCAAGATTATCACTTAGTTTGGTGTCTCGTAAGTCATTTATTTTTTTGAGAGAAATATTAAATAATATAGATGCTACATTCATTTTCTCTCTTATTTTATTATCATTGGCAGATGATAAGATTATGAAAGACCTCCCACACATGACAAAGATAGCACTCTGGTTTTAATAACTTTAAATTAAAGAGATTAATCAATTTGAATAAAATGATGTGGAAATATATTATTTTGTTTTGGACATTATTATTTTGTTTAATTTTATATTATTTCAACTTTTTTTTGCTTTAAAACTTAGGAAAAAAGTTTTCATTACCTTTTGTTATCTATTAAAATGAAAATATCACATCTCTAGAAAAAATTGCTCAATAATTTTTACCCCCTATGAATGAAACTGTCCCATAATTTTATAGTATAAGGATCTTCCAATGAGAGCTTTGTAGAGGCACTGTTTAATTGAGTAGTATTTGTCAGCTTCCATTCAATTTTATCATGCACATCAACTTTATTTTAGGCCAACAGTTGAGTACGGGTGGTGAAGGGGGTATGTTCCACACGATCGCAATTAAATGTTCTACTTTGGTGCAAAAGTTGATTGATGTATCATGTGCTAGATGTGTACCATCCACTCTATCATAAATGTAATGCCCGTTCATCCAAGCATTTGAGAATAAGGCCCAATTGATGTGAGTATTGATTTAAACATAGATTATGTCCTTTGTTGTTTTTTTATGTTTAAGCAAATATTTAAAAAATATAGAATGATAAGAGCTTACTTTTAGCTCCAAATTTTGGTTTCTTAAGTATTATCACCGGATCCACTTGCTCTTATAGTAATCCGAAGTGAGGACGTTCCAAAGAAGTTACAATTTAGTTGTAGTATTTCAAATATTAATCTAACAACCTATATCCCCTTGCATTCTTCAGCATGTTGATATCTTTCTGACTAATATATATTGGTTTCTCTTTTTGTTTGCTCAAGAAAATAGTCAATATTGTTTCAATATGATTGTGAATGTTAAAAAGAAGTTTAAAGGAGTGATTCTAGAAAGTGTTGATGGCAAGGATAGTCTATCTGACAAACTCAAATTTGTTGATAAGTGAGAGAGGACTTTGTATTCGTTCAACGTGTATCATATCAATTTTTTTATGGGGTTTACAATTTCTCTTTATAAAATTACTAAAGAACAACAACTTCTCAAGCTATTTGAAGGCAAAAGCTATAAAATTTCTCAAGCTATAAAATTTCTCTTTACAGTTTCCCTTATAAGCAAAGGTCGACAACTAGCACTCTGGATAGATGCCCATAAGAGGCTCATTTGAGAGGTAGATGTTACTTTTTTTATACTTTTCCATCGAGACTACAGTCACATAGGAGTGGTTAAGAGCTTCAAATTGAGCTCTTACATTTTGCTCTCTGGCCTTAGTGTACCGGGGTAAGTGTGCATTCGAGACTACGAAAAAAGGATGAAGGAAAAAAAAATTATAAGGGAAACGCTAGTAAATAAGTTGCATGGAGATTTAATAGGTTCAATGCAGTTCACTTTTTGTCCATGGCATGTAGCATGCTACCATTTCAATTAGCCCATAGATAAGTAATGCATACAATGTATTTAGCACTCAAATAGTTTCTTTCACTAATAAATATTCTTTTATTTTAAAATAAGTCTTACCAATTACACAAGTGTAATATCTACGTAAATGACTACAACATATAGAAATCATTACCGAATCAACTAATAAAGGTTCTCCTAATAAAATGCTATTGTAGGCGGCGGTCCTAGGGCTTGCGGGAGACAGGAGGCTTCCTGTAGAGGGGAGCTTGCAGATCAGAACGAAACGACAACAAGCTATAACCGAAGCAGTAGGTGGCCACGAGAACGCTGACGACGGGAGGATTAAGCTGCGACAATGCCGACGATAGGAGGATTAAGCGGCGACATCATCCGGTGCAGCACTCAGTGGTCCTAGGGCGTGAGAGGGAGATGGGAACTTTTACAATCGAGCGAAAAAGATACACATTTAAATGTCTAATTTCTTTATTAGGCGAATGCCTCATCGAATCTGAGGTGAATCACATCTATTGCGCCTCTCAGCGATGCTTAGGTGTATGCCTTGATGCGGTTTTTTCCGTGATTGCACAGAGGTATGCCTCTAGTTGTGCAATGATATCATTTTAGAACAAAAGATAGTCGCAATTGTTAGAAACTATAGTTGTCGTTTAGGGAAGTTGCGGTTGTCATCATCTAGAGAAGCTGTGATTTTTCATTGATCTTGAAACCCGAGTCATCTATCATTCTAGAGTTACAGTCTCCACATTAGTTGTCAACATAAGTTGTTGTAGATCAATTGATGCAGAAGTTGCAATTCATTGCTGTTCAAAATAAATGGTCATGGAAGATTTAAAAGCTAATTAATACTCATTTTCCTTCCGTTTGTCCTTGACATTGCCTTGCATTGGTGCTCATGCATTCTTATTCAATTATTATTTATGCTTTTCCCCTTTTTTTAATGTTTCATGTATTTTCTAGATATAATTTATTACATTCTTATTAATATTTTTTTGGCTTGTTTGATTATCGTTGTTTTTGCTATTCAATTTGCAGAGTTTACATTTTGTTATAAACCTTATTGCTACATTTATTATCTAGAATAGAATAAATACTAAAATATCGAATTTACATCAAATTTCTAGAAATATCCCCGCATGAAAACATTTTCTTTGTTAAGGAAAATGATAATATTTGTGTGAAATGTATTTTATTCTAATTTCTGATGAAGGAATTTCTTGCCATAACTCACACATAGTTGCTACAGATGAAGGAATTTCTTGCCATAACTCACACATAGTTTGGGGTTATAAAATGGTGAAGTATCTGATAACAACTCTCTCAACACATGAAAGATAAAATTTATGACAATTTGTACAAGAAAACCTAAACATGATTATTTAAATGGCCAAGACTCTTTTTATATGATGTATTATGACCTTTTAATTATTGGCTCATCAGAGAGTTTTCATAAGTTATTGTCTCCCTTACATTATTAATTTATTGATAAATTATTAATAATTTTTTAAAATTTACCCTATTTTTAAAATAGTTAATGTTGTGTGCTATCTTCCATGTTAGCTTTATGCTATGGTGCGTTATTCGCTGTATACAATCACGTTGTCTTTATAGCCTCCAAGCTGAGTTCCACCATAAGGCTTCAATACTTGCATCACGGAATGCCTTAATCTACTGTTTACCTTTGTAGTAAGAGTGTCCATTGCTACTCTTGATGGATTATATGCATGTATACATACATACATTCATACATACATAAATAAATATATGTATGTATGTATGTATGTATGTATATTCCTCTCCGACGTCTTCGCACTCGATTCCTTTCGCATCCTCCGCTTCTTCTTCGGCTTTGAGATGAGGTTCGCCTCCCGTCTTCCTGTATCGCGAGCTTTCCTGGCTCAGGATTTCCAGGCTCTGCGGCCCCCCTTGGGCCCCGCCGGGCCCGTCTCGCAGGCACCGCTCGCGTGTTTTGCAGCTCCGTCTCGCAGGTACAACTCGCGATTTTTGCGGCTTTTCGGCGCTCGTCCAGTCTCATAGCGTCCTCTCTTTTTTAGCTTCGGCTATTTCGACGCGATTTTTTCCCTCGTTTATTAGAGCTGCTTTCTTCTCTGAACGCCACACCTTCTTTTGAGGATGACTTCAGACAAATCGTATGCAACTGCTCTTGCGGGTGTCCACAACTCAGACACACCAAAATCGTCATTTTTCCCTCCTTCATTTGAGTGGGCGGTGTACATCAGGAAACCTGGTAGGAAGAATGGGAAGTCTACCATCTTTTTTATAGAAGTTGAAGGTATTCAACTTGCTTCCTCCTGTCATCTAAATTTGGTTGAAAAATTTCTATATGGTCATCCAAAAATGGAGCTCATTCACAAAAAATTTGAAATTATGCACTTTGTTGGAGAATGAAAAATTGTACTATTAGATGGGAGACACATTCTTATTCAAATTTGTGATGAAAAAAATTACATGCGCTTATTTGCTAGAAGAATAATATGGATTGATAACAGAGTAATGAAGATTTTGAAATAGTCTGTAGATTTTGACCCAGAGACGGAACTGCCAATCATTCCAGTTTGGATTCGTCTCTCTAGTCTGAAATTTCATTATTTTTCTCAAAAAGTATTGTACTCTATTGTCTCAGCTTATGAGAAGCTACTCAAGACGGACATTCATACTTTTAATCTTTTCCGTCCTTCTGAAGCCAGAGTACTTTTTAAAAGAGACATCACTTTACCCGCTTCTGCGAAAATCTGATTGGACACACAACACCATGAATATTGGCAGAAGGTAGAGATTGAACATTTTCCCTCGTATTGTTCGAACTGTCGTATGTTTGGACACTCGACACTCGTTTTCAATGTCACCATCTACACCCCCAACTCAGACCAAAAAAACAAACTGTTCAAAGTAACCCTACACATGACCATTAACTTGGGTAAATTAATAGGAAGTGGGGATACATACAATTATCCACTTGATCAATTTCTTGGAGAAACCTTTCTCATCTTTGTTTCTTTTAGATGTAGGATCTATGAATATTATCAAAAGCCTTCGGCATATCCACTTTGATGCAGTTGGAATGCGACTTCTTTTTAGAATTGAAATAATGAACAAGTTCATGAGCAAGAAGAATGTTCTAACTAATCTCTCTGCCAGGATTGAATGCTAACTGTTTTTCTTTTTCAAAAGCTTGCCAATCATTGCTTTTATACAATTGGCAAGCCTGTTCGACATAAATTTATATAGACATGTAGTCAAAGAAATGGAATGTGTGAGTTGGGTTGCCATCTTTTTAGGAGTCAGCATCATTATCACTTGACATTCTTGATGTACCAAATAAATAATTAAAATCCTACACATTATGTGTATCTACAGCAAAGACCAACTCTTTATGGCCATTCGTTTTGAAGTTTCAAGTGAACCAAAACTTTTCATCCTTATTCAACACCTTGGGGGATATTAAGTTCATCACGTCAATGCCAGAAATGAGAGGTGGATAGGTTTTTTGAAAACGTCACAAGATGTTTATTTTTTTATTTTTTATTATTTTTATTTTTTGTGGAACTTGTCTTGAGAGAAGATCTTATGACATTTTGATTTCAATGATGGCTGCTGTTATTGTTTGATTTCAATGATAGCATTTCATATTGCCCGCTATTTTATAGTTTGATGAATAAATTTTGTTTTGTCATCTCCAAGCTTGAGCTAATTTTTAGCTTTCTCCCCTGGTGTGCAATTTATTAGCTTGTAAATACGAAAAAATCAAGTATATAAGAAAGAATCTTAAAGAATATTCGTTCGAAAATAAATGAACACATGGATGGGAAAATTGCTATTATGCATCATCTTAACGTACAACCTCCATAAGAGGGAAAGGATGTATATCTTTCCAGTTCACCTTATTTTCTTGACATAGCTTGCAATGTTTGATTCTTAAAAGTCTACCGTTTCCTTCGAAAATCCATCCATCTCCTTTCTTTGATTTATCATTTTATATATTAATTTTTAAAGTGTATGTATTGGATTGTTGGCAACATCTGTCTTGTCATATTGGATTTTAAGGCAACCTAAAATAGTTGGGAACTTTGAAAAAGGCTAATGATGATGATGATGCGTGAACTTGTATTTTATATTCTTCCTTTTATTGAATTTAACTTATCTGATTAGCTTTCCTATTTGATTAATATTTGTTATGTTGTGTGGATTCTAGAAGGACTCTGGAGCTTCTATGAGAACTATAATTGAGTGATATTTTTATTTTGATAAAAATCTCTAGCTAAAAGATCACATTTAATGTTTGCATAGGAAGAAATAGGTAAAAATGCTAATGAAATGCAACACTGACTAATTAAATAGAAAATTTATTTCAGCCGGTTTAGGTCAGATCTGAGAAATTGTAAAATCATTCATTTTGTCACCAGAATGCCGACTACGAAGAATTTTGAGAAGGGAACTGAGCTTGATCAAACAAAACCAGTTTATGTTGGGGACTTTCCTCGTCATCTTCGTGATGTACAGGAGGAACTGCTGCATGTGGCTGCTTCTGGTGGGTATTTTGTCAGTGTTGGGCTTTCGAATGACGTCAAGGAAAAACTGTTGATATTTATTTTTCTACTATATTCTTTTTCATCTATTGAGTTTTTTTTTTGTTTGCTTGTATATGTCCATAGGTGATAAGTTGTTCACAGGTGGCATGGATAAGGGAGCAGGACTTTGTTGGATAATATCCAGAAATAAGCTCTATATATGGAGCTATTTATCAGCTTCTCTTTCGAACAAATGTGTAATCCTTGAGATACCTTCCTCTGTTGTAGAAATAAGAGATGGAGACAAAAAGGCAATGCATTCTAATTATTGGATGGTTTGCATTGTTAGATGGGATGCTGTTTCTGCAAAGATTGACAAGGTGTTAGGACAGTGCGATTCTGCTGGTGTCATAATTTGCAATATGAAAACTCAAGTTGTTGTTTATTGGCCTGACATTTTCCTGGAAAGCAGAAACATGCCAGTTATTGGCCTTCCAACTCACCTGGAAGTCAGTGAAACCAATTTTCATGGTGAAGGTAGAAAGGGTGCCAACGGGCACCAAGAAATTTGTTTAGTGGGAAGCGTTCACTTGTCTGAGCACGATTATATTAACTCTATTATTGCTGCCCCAATTCCTTACAGCTCTAAAGAGTGCATTGCAATAGCTTGTCAATCTAATGGCAAGTTGTGGCATTTCCATTTTACTCAATCTGGAATTTTTAGGAAAAAGGTCCCTCATGACATATTTGGTGCTAGTTATGTTAGTTATTCTCAAACAAATAAAAGGTATGCAAGATCACTCATTTGGCATCTTCAGCCACATGCATGCTCAGAAAAACTTGGTTGTCAATTCTTTTTGTTGACAGACCGTGAAGTTCAGTATTGGAATGTCATGCTCACACCTGAGGTAAATGTAGTAAAACTATGGGCTAACGAGATTGTTGGTAATGATGGTGATCTGGGCATTAAGAAGGATCTGGCAGGGCAGAAACACATCTGGCTTTTGGACATGCAAGTGGATGAACGTGGTAAAGAAATTAGTATACTTGTAGCAACATTTTGCAAGGACCGGTTAGGTGGTTCGAGCTATACTCAATATTCTCTCCTGACAATGATATGCAAAGCTGGAAAGAACATTAACATAGAAAATCCTGGAGCAATGAGTGCGAGGGTATTGGAGAAGAAAGCACCTCTTCAGGTTATAATTCCTAAGGCAAGAGTGGAGGATGAAGAGTTCTTGTTTTCTATGAGGCTTCGTATTGGAGGCAAGCCTTCTGGGTCTGCAATGATATTATCAGGGGATGGTACTGCAACTGTGACCAATTATCTCAGAGGTTGCGTACGACTTTATCAGTTTGATTTACCATATGATGCTGGAAAGATTCTAGATGCTTCTGTTTTCCCTTCTGCAGACGATGATGAAGAAGGGGCATGGGTTGTGCTGACTGAAAAGGTAGGAGTGTGGGCTATACCTGAGAAGGCAGTTTTACTTGGCGGAGTTGAACCTCCTGAGCGGAGCCTATCACGAAAAGGGAGCTGCAATGAAGGAATCACACAAGAGGAAAATAGAATTCAGGCGTTTGGCGGGAATATGGCTCCTAGAAGAGCAAATTCTGAGGCATGGAATGGTGGGGACAGACCAAGATCAGCCATAACTGGCGTTGTGCAGAGAACTGCCCAAGATGAAGAAGCGGAAGTTTTACTTGGTCGGCTTTTTTGTGATTTCATGATATCCGGTGAAGTTGAAGGTGCTTTTGAGAAGCTTAATTTAAAAGGAGCATTTGAAAAAGAAGGAGAAACAAATGTTTTTACTCGCATGAGCAAATCTATTGTGGATACACTGGCCAAACATTGGACTACAACTAGAGGAGCTGAGCTTGTGGCATCAGCTATTGTGTCTTCCCTTTTATTAGATAAACAACAAAAACATCAAAAATACCTTCACTTTCTTGCTCTGTCCAGGTGTCATGATGAACTTTCTTTCAAGCAAAGTAAGAATCTGGTGCCATCTTTTTTAGTCTTTTTGCTTTGTGTGGAATTGTGTGATGGGTTTAGAACTTTAGGTTAACTCAGAAAAAAAATTATCATTACATAGTTTTCTACTACTCAAGGCACACGTGTTTATATATATAAAGAGAGACGGACTATATTTCCTTTTGAATAGATTTACACTTTGTTTAAATTTGCATATTTACACTATTTATCAACATATTTGAATGACTGATTTAAAGTTGCCAAAAGTAATTCTTGCATTCCCAAAGACTTTCAACAACTATAAATGTTAGCCATTCAAATATGTTGCTGGTGTGATAAAATGCGCAAATAAGATGGACTATCCTTCAAAAAGGATATCAAACTATTTTTGTGTTTGTGCATGCACATTGTGTGATTATTATCTTTTTAGAAGTATATGAGCTCATATTTTCAAACATTTTAAATAATATAATGTTTGAATGATTGTGATGGCGCATTTTTTTCTTTATATACTGTCAATTTCAATCTGCAGGGCATGCTTTGCTGTCCATCATGGAACATGGTGAAAAGCTTTCCAGTATAATCCAACTACGGGAGTTACAGAACGTAAATAGCCAAAATCACTTAAATAATGCAGATACTCCCTCTTCTTTCTCGGAGATTTGGCGGGGTGGTTCTCTATGGGACCTCATTCAATTAGTTGGAGATAAAACTCGTAGAAATACGGTAATGCTTATGGATAGAGATAATGCTGAAGTATTTTACAGCAAAGTTTCTGATATAGAAGAATTCTTTTGTTGTCTTTCTCATCACATTACTTATATCATTAGTGAAGATCAGCCATATAATATTCAAATGCAACGCGCTTATGAAGTTTCGAATGCATGTACAATTTTAATTCAGTCGGCCATGCAATATAGGATAGAAAACTATACCTGGTATCCCTCTCCTGAAGGATTGATACCTTGGAATTGCCAGCCAGTGGTCAGGTCAGGTTTATGGTGTATAGCATCTTCCATTATGAAACTGTTGAAACAATCATCTGTAATTGACATCTCAAGAAAATCAGATTTGTGGTCTCAGTTAGAGAAACTAACTGACATCCTACTGGAGGCATATACTGTTTCTATCACTTCAAGAGTTGAACGAGGCGAGGAGCATAGGGGTTTGATGCAAGAATACTTGAGGAGGAGGGATGAACTACTTGATTCTTTATTGGAACTAACCAAACGATTTGCTGATGCAAACTACCAGGTGAGTGCTTAGATTCTAAAAATAAATAACTGTGAATAAATGTTCAGGACAAAATTTGTGATTCTTAATTATTTTAAGATTTTTTAATTAAGGTTCTCAATTACATTTTCATTTGCTTTGGTGTTTGATATATTATGGGCACCTCCATAAACTGCAATTGATAGAGTAATCAGAAGGCATTGGCTAGTTATCTGGAAATTATTTTTCTCTGAAAAAAATACTCATTAAAACTTGATATTGTAAATAAGTTGCTCGTTATAGGTTTTTTTTTCCAAATTTTATGCAATCTTGCGTTTACCTTTTTTCAGTTTCTGAAGACGAAAAAAAAAAAAAAAAAAACCTGGAAGATTCTAAAACCAATAGTCTCGGTATAAGAATAGACCTTCACGAGTTCATTTTTTGACTGCTTGTAATTGAAGTTTTTATAATGTTTTCTCTAATAACTGTCAATGATTGTTCTCAAAATAATCAGAACTGATCATGGTAACTTGAATCTAACTTTTCTAAATAATTAAATTTGGCTTGCTCTACTTGGTATGTTTGTTTTTATTTTATTTTTTGTCATGAAAATGTTGTACTTTACCCAATTGTTGCTTTCTTGGCTTAACCAACTAATGCATATGGATCATCGTTGCCTGATTGCCATAGACTACCAACCTCCCAAAGTTCATTGTTATATCTTCTCTCTTATTTTCTTTCATCTCTAGGCTCTATTGGATGGGAAGCTCTACATGGTCTTTTTTTATAGTAGGCACAATATGTCAGTAATGATGGCTGGTTTTTGGAGGATAATGGACGCCTGGGGCAATGTTTTTACGGTGCTAAGCTCATGGTCATTTTCAATGAATCCCTTTTGCCTCAATGAACATAAGCATAGCAAAATTTTAGTTGATAAACTAAAACATTCATGACTTGTGTTTCATATATGCATATATTATGTACATACATTTGTAATTTAATTAGCAAAACAAAAACAATATCTTGTAATAAGTTTTTACAAATATGATGATATATTCAATAAAAGTGATTTATAGCCATCCAAAATTTTAAAAAAAATCAAAGATATAAATAATGAAGTAATGAAAGAGTACTTTAGAAAATTTAACAATACTTGGGAGATTAGGTGACTGACTAGTGTTTAATAGCAGTGGCAATGTGAAGCAAGGGGAAGTATGAAGATGAGATCTTAAAAAGCATTCTCAGGAAGAAGCTTGCTAACGAGCAGTTTTTAGCTCGAATAACTAGAACCAATGAAAAAGCTTATAAGAAAATAGTGAGTAAAGTGTAAAGAGAACCACCAAGTAGTTATCAATTATGGTGGGATAGTCCGTAAAACCATTGAGCGATGACTCAATGACTAGAGATATAGTAAGAAGTAAATATTCATGACTAGTTTTTATGGAAGATGTTGAATGTAACTATAAAATTTAAATTAGGATTATTTTTACTCGAAGCCAAACACACCATGCTATAACATGCCACAGTGACGCGGTGTGACGCTCGCACCTCGCTACGAGTTGGCACATCACATGGAATCAATGCATAGGTCCAATGCATCACTTCACTTCATTGATAAGGCCAATGTATCACTTCACTACACTGATATATCATTCTTTGAAGCATGCTTTTAATAATATCTGATGGGGATTGTCTAAATGAAAGGATGCATGCATTGACGCGGGGCTCGTTAGGAAAGAGCTGAACCTGTGGGAAAGTTGCTGAACTGTTTCAGCATTGGTCTGCAGGGTCCAGCCGGCCCTAGGGTGGACTAGGGTGCAGCCCAAGGGAGGGGCCTTCTCCCCCTTGTCATCTACTAATATAAATATCTTCTTTTTGCTGATAAGGGTTAGTTTTTGCTGAGTTTTCTGTCAGCACAGCTGCCGGCATCCCTATTTTCCCTTTTAGGGTTGTATCCAAGGACTAGTGGTGCTCCGACTATAACTATATTCTGCTCCGAGGTGGTAGTTATCTCTTTGTGCTTTCCTCCCCTTTCTCTTCCGATCTCTTTTGCCTTCCATCCGCGACCCCCCCGTGCCGCTTCCGCCTTTCTACACTGTTCCTGTGCAGGTTGCCATCCCTATTACACTGCCCAAGTGCTTCCGCCACTCATCCTGCTTGCTTCCCTGCGCCGCCTCACTTCTCCCGCCCTACCTGCTCACAGCCAACCTCCCTCACCTTGCCGGTGCCGCCGTCACCATTCATGCATCATTCCAGCCTGCTGCCACCTTTCCCAAACCACCTCGCTGCCATGCCATGGCTGTCCTGCTTTTTCCCTAGCAGGATATTTGTGTTTGTTGCGTTTTCTTTCTTGTTTTGAGTCCTGATTGTCACCCCTATTGCTTTTTGGATAATAAGATTTGTTTTTTTATCTGATTTTTGGATAATTTGGGTATCATGCGTGGTTACTTTCTTCCTTTTTTTTCCATACTAAGGTTATTACAAGGTTCTTTCGAGTAATTCATAGGATGTTGTTTAAGCTTTAAAGGCAATAAAGTTGTTCAGGCCAACCCTTTTCGTAGGTGTTGTTTGTGCCTCCATTGATCAGATGAGATGCTTCTATTGGCTGAGGACTGAGGGTTGGCACTTCTTATGGTGTCAGGAAATGCCAACTGAGTTGACCCCTGATAGATGAAACATCATTTGGGCTTGAGCATACGAAAATGGAGCCCATCAGATCAAACTTCGACAATTTTAACATAGATTTATTTGGTCTATTTTAGTATTTGTCAGTCATATTCGGGATTGTTTATGCCATTCAATTGTTTATTTATTTGTTGTTTTTTAAATTCATGTAAAAAGGCTTCAAGAGAAGCTTTGGCTTTTTATAGAAATTAAGCGTTATAAATAGTCATTGAGGGTAATTTTGAAGAAAAGTTACAAAATGAATTCAGCTTTCCATGCCCTTTGCAAGTTTCTACCTGGACTCCTCTGTGCCTATTGTGGTTTCATGTGATGTGCCCCTCATTTTGGAGCCATGTGATGCAGCTGGTTTTACCCTTTTTCCATGTAAAACTTCTCTTCTCAGCGACACCTGGATGTTTTCTCAGTAATTCCATCATGTTCCTGATTAGTCAACCCCTTGAGCCTATGATCTGATGCAGGAAATGCTTACGAAATGCATCCTTGTGGCGGGAAATAATAGGACACAGGACCCCATGTTTCCTGCAATCCATGATAGTTTCCTGCATAAGCAGGAACCGAGCAGGTTTTCCGCACTTTTCCTCATTGGCGGAAATTCTTCTGCATGCAACAACAAGAACCAAGTGGGATTTTTGTACTTCTCATCGTAGGCAAGAATTCTTCCACATGTAATGCCACCAACTTCCAATTTAGCCTTTCTATTTTTGTTTCCTTTTTTATTTATTTTCTATTTCTCTAGTTTCTAATTAGGTATTCTATATTAGAAGACTTTTATATTTGTGTATTGGGCTGTTTGGATTTTCAGTTTTCTAATTTTATGAATTGAGAGACGTTTCTCTGCTTTTCTGCTCTCTGGAATGCTGTAGCCTGTTTCTATTGTAAGTGGTGTATCTATAGCTTGCTCCGGAATAGGTGGTGGAACCTTCTCACCATCCGCATTTCACCAATTTGTCATTTGCTCTGTTTTCAGCCGAGCAGCCATCTGACTCGCCTCCCCCTGCTGTCTACAGCAGGAAACCAACGTTTTCCTGCATTTGGTTTGCCTTCCAGCACCCGATCATACCAATTTTCAGCCGCCATGGATTCTCCCACTCGATACTGATCCTACAACTTCCTTAACATCTTTTGGTGCTCATCTCTTAGGAACCCTAAAACAGTTTCAAGATCTCTTGATGATTCTCTACTCAACACTCTTCGAAAACATTCGCCATCATTTTAGTCTAAAAGCATGGTTGATACTTTTTGAAGGCACTTTTCTCTTCACTATGATCCCACATTTTGTGACTTATATGCTTTTATTTCTTTACATAGTTCCTATTCATGGCTCGCTGCTTTCCTGTTTTCCAAATTTCCGTAGTTTCTACACGTAATAGTTCTTAAACATTTTAACTTAATTAGTCTTCTGGGGGTTTTCAACCAAAGTCTTATTGGATGTCTCATTAAATTTAAACTAAATAAAATTCTAACTTAAACCCAAACCTTGGACCCAGAGGTAAAAGCAAATTAATTTAGCCCAAAATTCATTAAACTGATGCTTTCTCTAAACCAGTCAAAGAGGGATTGAAATTTGATGAATTGTGTTTGCTGTGAACAATTCTCTGCAGTTCCATTGCACTTCTTCCATGGTTCCTGTTACCTGAATCGAAGCAACAAATTTGAGAACTTCTTTCATCTTCTATCACCTGAGAAACATTGCTGATCCATGTAGAGGTGAACGCTTATCCTAAGCACTTATGGAAGTCTGGTTTTCAATTCTGCAATGTTGTGAGTTGCAATTGCACTTATACAGCTTAGGATTTTTTTTTCTTTTTCTAATTGACAAAGATTGTGTTAGTGTTAGCATTTGCTTTAGAAAAATTTGGTAAAAGCCTTAAATTTGAGAGCAAAAATTAGTGATACTCAAATAGTTCGGATGCAAATGGACTAGAACCTTTACAAAATTATATTTGAAAGACAAAACCCTATAAACGACCACTTGCCAACTAAAGAAAAAATAAAAGTGAAATAGAAGAACTTGTAGAAGATAAAACAACAAAAACGTTTTTCTTCCCCTTGGATTCCTGCAAGCAGGTTAAATTTTTTGCGCCAAAAATTGGATGGCTGATGTTTCTGATTAATAATTTCTTACACTCTGGCTTCTGGAACATTGTTCCTGCTTTCTTTCATGTGTTCCATCCTAAGAATTACTATAGGGGAAAAGTACAGTGTTTGCTATACCTTGCCTAATCAATTTCCAACATTACTGGCCCCCTGCTGTGGCTTCAAAGCTAGTGCAATCTATTGCCTTCGTTTTTTTAAGGTGTCTATCCAACGTCCAGGTTTGCCGGAAATTCCAGCTAACAAGAAACTTGTCCAACATG